ACAAATATCAACATGGTTTAGATCTTACAGACGAACAACTCGCAGTTGACAAATATACAGAAACGTAAAGGTGATATATGCTTGTTAATCTTCCTGTGTGCCATTTTGAACAAAATATTAAAAAGTTCTCCTGTCCCTGTTTCCGTACTACTTTTTAGACGTTGACAGAGGTATAAGTGGAGCGTAGCGGGAACGATAACTCTGGGTAGATTGATTGATTGTATATTGTTTTACGTCCCATTCGAGAATTTTTCACTCATATAGAGACGTCACCATATACCGGTGAAGGGCTTCAAATTTTGACCTTTACTCGGCACTCAGGGCCATTGAGCAGTAAGGGATCTTTATCGTGCCAACGCCTGCCGTAACACGGGGCCTCGGTTTTTAAGGTCTCATCCGAAGGACCCGCAGCTTTCACTTCAAAGTGCCGAGCGCATGGCGAAGGAACAGTTGCTACCTATTTTTTATCGACTTAGGTCTGTCGCGGCCGAGATTCGAACTAACGACCTCCCGATCACGGAGCGAGCGCTCTACCGACTGAGCTACCGTGAACGGTAACTCTGGGTAGAGATTGTGATTTTATCAGATTACGAATTGATAATATACCAGATAATTCTTGTAAAATATTATTACTTTGCAAAGCAATTATGGTTCTATGGGCATCAGAAACAATTTCCCAAATCACCCTTCTCCAGTCCCCTCTCAATCAATAGCTTTACTAGTTTTGGACTACACCTCTGTACTTCCCTGGAGGTCCCCTAAGGTAACGCAGTGGTTACAGCATCTGCTCTAGAGTCGCGGAGTAAGGAGCTGATCCTTACCCTAAGGTTCGAATCCCACTGCGGGACGTGGAGACCGGTCCTTCGGACGAGACCGTATAAAGCCTGGTCCCGTGTCGCAATAGGTGTTGGCAAAAAAAAAGATTCCTGACTGCTCAGTGGCCCTGAGTGCCGAGTATAGGTATAAATTTGCAAAAGTTGGCGTCTCCACATGAGTGATAAATTCTCGAGAGGGACGTTAAACAACAAACAGAACAAAAACTCCCCTGAAGTCTTCAACAAACAACCGACTTCCACAATCCATAAAAACTGAAATTGCCTTTGAAAGCAGAAATCCTGCAGGACAATTCACGGTTTTACCGCTGTCAAAATAGGCATATACTAGTAGTAACGGCAGGGGATGGGGACTAACCTTTGTCAGTTTCTAAGGTTTCGTGTCAAACGATTTTCTCCCCAATCCAAAAATTTGCTGCATGTCTGCATAAAAATCTAACATTTATTTAGATGTTAGAGTAAATATCACCTGTACCTGGTGAGGTCATAACGAATGTCCACTGTTAGTTTCAATTGCTTCTCTGCTTTTTATGCACAGTAGCCAGGTTTAAAAAATAACAAAAAACCCCTCTGTGTTGCCTCCTGCAGAGTGCCGATACCTAAATGACCGTCCAAATTGTACACCCAACAAGGCAGTATGATGCTTATTAAAAAAAATAACTTTGTTCAGAAGTTGATTTTTGTAAAATAAACAAGAACACCGTTACTAAGTTTGCACACTTGCTCCAAGATGCGCCAGATATAAGCACCATCAGTTATATCAGCAAGGCCACAAGACTTTTCCTACCATAAAAAAGGGTTTAAAAAGGGGGTTCCATTTGCTTTTTGGGGAAATTTATTTTTAAAAAGATTATAAAATCAGCTTTCATAAAATTATTATAGAACCACTGAGGTGATCACAGAAGTTTATATTTATAACCCCCTCCCTCAGTTTTGTACATTTAGGGAATAAAAGACAAAGGTTTTCTTTAATTTACTTTCCTGCACCTGATCCGATTTTTCTGAACTGTTTTGTTCTACTTTGCACTATCCCTTGATAACTTAACCATGACTTTTTTTGTTTTTTTTTTCCTTTGCTCTTTGCCTTTTTTCATGCATATTTTTCTTTCATAATCATCATATACATCCTAAATTCTTTTGAAATATGCCCGGATATGAAGCTGAAGGTTAATCAGTGAACTACTTTGTTTCTAATTTATGTCATCTCTCTCAGATAAGTATTTCATGAAAGGAATACAAAATGCGTGTAGTATCAGGGGAGCCAGAGGGCTGCTACCCCACACCTTTTTTTTCTCCAAACTAAACTCTTTAGTAATGGAAATGTTCATTGAAAGGCCATATGCGCCTTTTCTTTCAGTAAATTGAAACTGAAAGAAGTTGGACCTAACACCCCCCACACTTGATAGGATTTTTGAGTTCGAACATTTTTCTTTAATTTCCTTTTTTGTTTTTTCTTTCTTACTTTTTTTTTTATTTTTGCTTGTCATTTTTTTTTTCGGTTAGTTATATTTTTCTTTGGCTGTCCCGTTTCTTTACATAGCACAAAGATAATGGACGGTAGAGAGCTCGCTCCGTGATCGGGAGGTCGTAAGTTCGAATCTCGGCTGCGACTGACCTAAGTCGATAAAAAATGGGTAGCAACTGTTCCTTCGCCATGCGCTCGGCTCTTTGAAGTGAAAGTTGCGGGTCCTTCGGATGAGACCTTAAAAACCGAGGACCCGTGTCACGGCAGGCGTTGGCACGAACGATGCACAGGTACTAACATTCTATACCAGCAGCAATCTTCTCCACTTCTTGTATGATAGAAATAACAATGCGCTCTCCACACATTAACCACTGAAGTCTTTTCCAGTAAGCTGTCCAAGTATGGATGTGTAAATTTATTTACGAGTTCCATATTTTTATTGAAAAGCAGCTGTGTATGATGTCAAAAAGTGTGGAATTTAATTTATCGTGAAGAATGGTTGAACAGTGTGTTTGAAAAGTCGTACGTTTTGATGTTAATTTTGGAAGATTTTGTGGTTTCAAATTTTCTAAAAGTTCCTTGCAATTTTCAAGTATCCGCATAGGATTAAAACAACATCTCGAATATATTGTTATACAGTACTCTTAAACAATCTCCTTTTTTACTCAAGGACATGTAACAGGCAAAATGTTTCCATAATAAAAATATAAAATTAACCTTTAATCCAAATTATAAATTAAGTTAAGCTGGCCCCTGGGTTCAGGTTCCAGGAGAGACTTATTTGATATTATATATTGTAAATGCATTATATCTCACCAAATCTTTGTCTTTACGTATGCACATACTGCACGTAGTTTGTTTGAATAATTATGAGTACTCAGGTTTTCACTAAATAATGATCCCAGTGTACATGGTACAGTCCTTAGGTTGGGGTTTCGTTGGTCATATATTGAAAAAATATATATCTATATAGAAATATATTTGAAAATATCTTCCTTTTCCCTACTCATGGACGTTAAGCATGCAAACTGTAAACATAATTATACAATTTAACAATAAACTCTCCACCAAAATTGTGAAATCCGTTACCCTTGGTACTATGTTTTAGGCCCTAAAATATCGTCTCAAGCCACGGTCCGGAGTCCGCATATAGCTCTCTCCTACCCGTGGCTGCTTGATCACAAAAAGTGTCGTAATCTTAAATATTTACGCCTCTCTGTTGTGACGTCATGTTCAGCCAATGACGTATTTGTTAACAACTGACATCAAGAGTAGACAAGAAATGTTTCGTATACTGCGATTGGGTATTGAAAGGTCGCGTCAAAGTTCATTATCCGACTATGCTTTACTTGCATTGGTCAAAATTTTAATGAGCTGCGAAATATTCTCTTCTCATTCAACCACGGCCAGAATGGGAGAGCGACGATGGCCCTAATATGGAAAAAAGATAACAACAGTGATCGAAATATATTATCTCGATGAAAGGCGTACCTTTGGAAACTAATTAATCATTTTTAAAATTGTAAACCTCACATGTCACGTCGCCTGTGTCTAGCAAGCGATGGTACAGACTCCAGTATGAGTATAGATTAGCCATTATAATTGAATGAACATTACATCCTCGAAAATATTGACTCCTATATATAGGTAGACGAACTGCATGATTATAACATATAATTGTTAAATTCATGGTTCCTTGGCCGTTTCGTCGAAGTTCTAGGATGGGTTAAATTGGTCATATATTCAAAATACATTGTATTTTTGAAGGAAAAAAGTTTCATTAATATTGACTTTCTTTTTATGACAATGCTAACTTAATAAACATTCAATTTTTGTTGACATTAAGTCCGTCACGTGATCGTGTCGCGATTTATAGCTTTGCGTATACCGGATATGCAAGTCGGCCTTTGATGATCTGTTAGTGGCTGAAGCAAATTACGTGACCTTTAAAAAGGTATATAAGCGAGCGCAGCTTCGAGATTCTTTTGAATCCAGGCAGCAGAGACAAGAAGACGGTTCATTCGGAGATACGGTTAGTTGGGTGGATTGCCTAATATTGAGGCTTGCCACGATTACTTTATCAATACTAGGTGGATTGCCTGAGGCGAAGGCTTACCACAACAAATTAGTAGTATTGCGTGACTAACCATTTAGAGGCCGACCATAGAGGGAGGACAACGTTGACACCTATCTGTCAACTTCTTTTCATGGTTAAAATTAGCAACTAGCCCTCTACAATATGATAATGTATTACATCTATGTTCCCCGGGTCTGGGTATCAAGCCACAGGATGTCTCTTGTTACTGTATCACTTGCTATTAAATCCCTTTAAGTTTTAAAAACGATTAAAGAAAATTACTGTTCTGCGTGTTAACACAAGTTTTTTTTTTTAAAAAAAAAACAAAAAAACAAAACATGAATTAATGTGTGAAACATACATACGCATATACGCTAGATCCTGTATATAGGAGCCTTTATAATATCATTATCTATCACTCTAAAATCAAAATTTCAGAAACAAATTCATTATTCCTTTTTAAATTGCACGTACCGTGTATATGTACATTGAGGTCAATATTCAAACGCATTATACTATCAAGTATACGAGGAGTCATAAGAATGATAAGAGATAAGTAATTTAGTATAACTGTCAATATAAGTCCTGGAGAATTGTGCAATTCTTTGTTATAATTCTTTGTATCATGCGGTCCATTCTTGTGACAGTACTTTTCTTTCTCTCCTTTATCTTCTGTTGTACCGCGTTCTGCTTCAGTTACGAACGGACGCCATTACAACACGGGGCACAAGGTAGGAGATGGTGGAATTCAGTGTTGACATAACTTCATGCACATGATTTTGTGTATAAAGAGTCTAAGAGGATTTTATAGAATGTTTCATGAATTCATGAGTATTTTTTTTTGTTTACGCCGAAGTTTAGGTAAGAACTTTATTACATCCCTCATAATCATCAGGGACCAGGCGTATATCACAGGGAAGAGACCAGTACATTTGGCATGGGACAATATTTTGTGTTTTTTATCAAAGACGATCATGGGATAATTTTTTTTTTCAACTGAATTATCCACGTGACAAAACAATTTTTATGGCGTTAAATTGCTGAATCGATAACCTCGGGGGAAATTTCATCGTACTACAGAGCAACCTTGCGAAAAAGTTATTCAAATTTGACGAAATGGGAGATAATTAAGATTTTGCGGAAATTTGATGACATCTTTTAAAATATTTTTTCTCGAGAACTCCTGGGCCTTGGCTATTATTCACGAGTGTGTTATATACAAAAATTATGCAGACTTGCTATAGAACAACCGATTTTTGTAAATAATGGTATGAACAAATAAACTGCACATTGCAATTGTTTTAAAAATGTGACCTCGGTTTTTTAATTTCGAGATTCAGCAGAGAAACGAAAATATGGCACACTACTTGATCTTTTGTTTCTCAGTAATGGTCCCTGAGATCTGTTGAATGCACCACTGAAAAAACGATATATTTCAAACATTGATGTAAGATTCTAACATGACTCACGTTATCTTTTTAGCACCAAAACACCACTGTAATTTAAACGGCGTGGGATTAGCGGCAGGAGAAACCTACACAAACACTACCAGCTGTCTTAAGTGTCACTGTGCGGAGAATCACTATGTTTTCTGCTGCTCGTATGATATTTATTCAGATTACATTTCATATTTAGAGTTTATTCAAAAAGAATTTACTTACTCTATTTTACAAATACACTCAGGCAGTTAAACTTTTCAGTAAATCATTTTTCTAAAACTAAGTCTATATAATTTATATATGTCTTTACACAGTGTTGTTTTCGCCAATGTTACTTTGTATATGTTTATCCCATGTTCCATTTGCCAAAATACAGACATATTTAAGAGGCTTTTAAGTCAACTCTTTTGAATTTGCCCTCTTGCAAAGGATCGGGAGATTTCTTGGCATAAAGTTATTTACATTCATTGATTTTATTTTTTTAATTATTTTTCTTAATATATTGTAAATTAATTTATTTAGAATGATATCTAGTTACGTGTTGCCAGAAGGTTGTGTTGTCATAACCAAGGACTGTGTACAGGAGATTGTGTACGAATCAGATGGATCTCAATGTCAGCCATTGGCGGCTGTAGGGAAGTGACGTCACAGAATGAAACTGACATCACTTGATGGCACAAAGTCTATAGATAAATAGTTTTGAATAAAGGAATTTTTTTCAAAAAAAAAGAAGAAAATCATTAAAGAACATAAATTTGAAAATGAAGATTTGACTGTATTTTAGTTCTATGATAACCAACCGGAAGGTGGACCAAGGAAGGCTACTGGAAGGTATCATAAATGGGCTAAAATTAGACTTTAATGTGGGTCATCAAGTCTTCTCAGTGGACACTTGAAGACCTAAGAATTTTGGCAGATAGCGTGAAAATGTCTAAGCGACGTTGGACGACTACCATGGCGTTGCGGAGAACATCTAATTGAGTGTTGCTTAATGCATTGCTGTAGATTACAGAGGATGTCAGAGAGAGCCAACAACATCAAAGAGGTCCCCTCCAGCAGCCCCTAGACCACCCTAGCAGATCCAAATTTAAGACCTAGGTCCCGTTCCGCTAGAATCCATTCTAAAGTTTCAGGTACATCAACGTTCCAAAAACCAATGTCCTAGACATGGATCTGCCGATGAACGCAAGCTTTACTTACAAATCACATTTAGAAAGCACTTTCTCTCAAAATGAGGGGAACGCTACGCAAGTGTTAAGATCTCTTACCAGATGTAGATGGCGGCACGCAACACAAGCTTAACGTACTGACGAGGAGTAAGCGACATCCATCACAGGGTCATACCCGTCGTCGCTCCTTTGATTTTGTCAGGCAATACTAGTAATTGCCTTTATTATATCATTGAAGTCTTAGATTTCAGATTGGTTGAGGTCAAATAAGATCACCCGAATAATTAAGGCCTTCTAGGTGAACAAATAACATTGGACCGGTCACGGTAGCTTAGTGGTAGGGCGCTCGCTTCGTGAACGGGATGCCCGGGTTTGATTCTCGTTCGCTGGGACGCGTCAAACCTAAAACGTAAACATAGGTAGTGATTGTTCCTTCGACAAGCACCCGGCACTAGAAGTGAAAGTCATTGGTCTTTCGGATGAGACCTTAAAAACCGAGGTCCGGTGACTTAAAAATCTTGCTCTAGATCAACTAGTCACGGAAATACGCGTGTGACGTCAAATAACAAGATCATGGGACATAAAAACCGTTAGATATAAAGGGTTCGTCTTTGTTTAAAGATCAGCAAAATGCAGATATCTTAATTTATTGCGCTCAAATACAGATTTTAAAAATTTAAAGAGATTCCTTTGCTCAGCCAATTCTGAATTTTTTCCATGCTGAAAAAGAAAGGTTTTCAGAATCAGTGACAGTCTTTTGAGTCATTAACGAGACAACATTTACTATGAAATAATTTAATAGTTGTTTAATTTGTATTTATATCTTCTACAACACAAAACATACCCATGTTTAGTTCATTGTCTAAATTACAGTCTACATTTTATCCCTTGGCAATGGGTGGGATTGCTCTTTTAGCAAATTACAAAAGGAACTATGCCCCGGGGGCTTGCCCGAGGGGAATAATTCCTGTTAAAATATTTGGTGAAGGAGCTTTCAAACTCAAACACAGTGGATAAGCGTTTAATTATGTTTTATATTATTATTTTTTTGGAGTACTATGAGAAACTTACTGTGGCAAAGTCTTCTGCGTTCAGTATGATATATGCGATTTTTTTTATTACCAAGCTTTGCTGTATAGTTTTGTGTCTAACTTACATGTCCTTCGAACACACTGCTCGAGACACTCGTTTAGACTTAAGAATCTGTTAGGGTTTCCGTCACAGCCTCTATAGATAAACGGCTGACACTGATTGGTGTCACTGTACCCCCATCTGAGTAAAATACGATTCCCATTTCCAGGCTCTATCGGCAGGTCGCAAATGTCACGATCAGCTAAAACACACGTACACAAAATAGTTGTATGTCACTTATTGCTATAATTAAGGAATTATGTTACATGGAATAAAAACCTGAAAATAGTTTTATATAATTATATAAATGATCAACTATAACCACAGTAACCAATCAGTGTACGTACGACATGCCATTAATGTGCATCCAACCTGTCCAGGTGCTGCGCAGAAACATCCATTACAACCATCAGTGGCAGGAAAACCATCTCCAACGTCGTAGAAGCAACCATAATAAAAGCAATCTCCTATCATATAGAACGCAAAGTTGTTCTTAAAGGTATTAGAAAAAAAGGGTTTTCGCTTAATCACGAGTAGTGTCACTTATTTTTTAATTAAAGGATACATGATGTCTTCATGAGCAATTCTATTTAACCACATGAACTTTTTTGGCAGACGTGGTTAACCATTTTGATGAAACTTTGCCTATTATTTACGATTTACACCGGAAACGTAAATTAATCAAAATTTTTTTGGCTACTTTAAATACTTTTTTAGCCCTATCAATGATGAAGAAAACCGAATTCACCACGCCCAAAAACATAAGACCTACATTTAATTGTCATATATGATGTAAAGAAATTATAACGAATTTATATCCAAATGGATGGTTCATGTAACCATGGCTCATTGGGCAAACATGTTATATAATAAGCACTCATTTTTAGAAATAATTATAAATGTTACATAATCAATCTCAATTCCAAACGATTTAAAAAAAATAAAAAATAGTTCACCTTACATAATAATGTTTTATCAGTACTATTCTAAATTCATATAAAATAATTGCTATAGTAACAATTTGTGGATTAGTTCTTAAAAAAAGCTGCAAGATGATTATTTCATATACTTCGTTTTCTAATTTCATAGCAATATTGAACTTTTTTGATAGCTTCTTTCTTCCAGCTAGAGATGAATTGAAAGCCAGATAAGTTTATAAATAATTTTAATGTGGACATTTTCCTACAGTTATATTAATCAAAGGACACTTCAGTGAAACCACGCTCAGCGAACACTTATAATGAATTTACGCTTATTGCAAAGTGATTTTCATTCCCCCTGGCTATAAAATATATTGCGAGCTTAACAGACACAAAGTCTGCCACATCTTTTTTCATATTTGGATGTTTTTTTCTAACGATAGACGATAATTATGGACCAACTAACAACTAAATTTTATGACAACGAAAATGACTTCAAATTTTCCATCGTTAACGTTCCTTATTGATGTAGTAATATCCCGCTGTCTCCTGCATAAGGTGTTTACATCTCCTAATTTCTTCGATATTCAAGAGCATGCCCCGAGAACGATCAATTTGTAAACCGAGGCAGGTTACTGACAAAAAAGTTCATGTTACAGGGATTTCAACAACCTTGTTTAAAGTCGGCATTTCGTAAATTCTAGGTCGTTTTATTGACTTAGCAGATAGCAGATATAACCTACCATTGCGTCATTTATTTTTCTGACGTGTTTCTTCCCGATTGTTATGCTTTTTTATACTGAGTTTGAATAAGGAATGTTCCATCTACCTGATCAATACATAGGTGTCATGGCGGTGTGACTGGTCAACAGGGGATGCTTTCTCCTGCTAGGCACCTGATCCAACCTCTGGAATTTCTAGGGGTCTGTGTTTTATGCCCTGTGTATTGTTTATAGTTTTTCTTTTGGATATCGATCAATGTTCGTTATCTTCCATCTTCTCAAATAACAGATTACGCTAATAATGAAGCAACATTATCCCTCCCTGGATTTTCGTTAAAAGCGTGTTTTACTGTAAATTTTTTCAGATTTTTATACAAGTATTTTAATATATTTTCCATAGCAAACAACCTGTTACTTTTTGAATACTGTACGTGTACATAAATTGGCGTATTCAAATTAAGCGCAATCACTGGGTATGGAGTTGTTGGCGAAATCACAATTTACCGCTATACATGTCCGTGCCGTATATTGTATATATAAATGATTTCTTAATGGTATTCATGAATTAGCGCATCGTTGTCTGCGCCAAAGCCGCTAAAATATGAAGCCCGCTTATTTTAAATACACATACAGTAAATGTTGAACTTTTAAGATATAGATATTATAAGTTATGATTATAATTTCTTGCTAATACAAAATACTGTATTTTGTTAAATTTAAAGATCCTTTCTTTCAACCTTACAACTTCTACACAACGTTTTACAATCTTTTTGACTTTTCCTGATGAAAAGCTTTAAACCTGTAGCCGATACTTACGGGTACTGCCGTAGAACAGCGACGTATCTCTATCTGCCAATTCTTACCGATACCTTTGTTTATAAGGTCTCAATCGGACACTGATCATTAAGTCCAAAAGTTGCATTCAAACCTGAGATTATAGGACAGCTCCTTACTCCGAGACTTCTGAAATAACTACGATTTCCTTACAGGGAAAATCGATAAAACGTTAAGAAGTATAAATTTAAGTAACGTGTAGAAGGAAACGCACGGGATTTGATAAAAAAAAATAAATTCAAGTAACGTTTTGAAGGTTAACGGGACAATATTACAAAAAAAGGTTATATTGAAATTCTAGGTCTTATGTCGCAGAAGATAATGGCTTGAAAATGATCCCTCATGGCTAAACGACTTAGTGCCAAGAATAGTTCTAAATTTTCAGCCTTCAATTGGCAAGTGTTTGCGTCCCGACCTGAATAAATATCTCTATGGAACGAGAAGAAAAATAACTAAATAAATAATTTAGTTAAAAAAGAAACAATCAAAATCAATACCTAATTGTCGTCTGGGTCCATGATATCTTCCAGCAGATATAACAGTCACTGCCTGTTTTATATACAGTAAAAATTGGTTTTAAAGAACTCCCTCATGCACACTTGAAAGAAACTGTAATGAATCTTTTAGAAGACTTTCAACTCTGTTCCTTTCTAGATGTAAGGAAGCTAAATCGTCCATGTGACTGTCTTTTAACCACGTTTTATTAAATATATATTTAGACAATTGCATAGTCCTAGTTCAGTTATACATTTAGATGGAAAAATATCTTTATCTCTTTGCAATACAAAATTGAAAATACATTTAAATATTTACTTACTATGAAATACAAATATCCTTGTATTTTTATCATAATTAAGAGTGTTTAACAATATTGCAAATCTGATGTTTTTATAGATAAAGTGATTGATTTGCATAATATTTACCGGT